TTGGTGCAGTGGAGCATAGGGCCAAGCCCCCTTGGACTGCTCGCGTTTGAGCCTTAACGCAAGCTTTTTTCTTATTAAAAGAATTTCCTGCCTATTATAGTTGTATATGTATATAAAATAATGTGTCGCTACGGGTTTGTGACGTGGAGCGACCGTCTTTCTTCTCGATAGAAGAAAAATGGAGTCACCACCAGTCTTTATTTATAAGGTGTGACTAGGTACCCAAATGCATGGATAAGTCCATCTATACAAAAAGATTTAGGTTCGGGGGTCTTTTGTGTACGGGAAAGGTGTTAGCACCCCACAACACTCATTCAATGAACGATAATTTATTTTTCATATTATTTTCAAGAAAATGGCCTTTTAAAAAAAGAATTTTATTTTTATTTTCAAATGTCTCACATTTTATTGATCATTATTCATAAGGTAAATAATGAGCAATAATTATGAGTGACCTAAAGCCATAAAGAAAATTTTGTTTATTTGAATTTAAATTGACTTCCCAAAATAAATTCATCACCTCGAGAATATTAGGGAATCGACCTCTCGAATTCTCCAATCTCTGTCATAAGAAATTTTTAAAAAATATATTAAAATAAGATTTAGAAAAAGATTTTATTTTTGACTTTTTAGAAATATCATGAGTGCTTTTAAAAATGGCAACTTTTTAGGAGGAAATGTCTTTATAAAGATGTTATTTTTTATTATTTAAATGTTTTTTTTAGTAAAAAAATTCTTATAAAAGCAGATTCACAAAAACGAAATATATTTTTATTTTTTAAAGAAAAGATATTTATTTACTTCAAAAAAATGATTTTTTTTTTAGGAAAACAAAATGCAAACAATTTTGTATTAGTATTTCAATTACTTTTTAAAACCAAACAAGGGATAAATGAGAAAACTATTAAAAATACATCATTCCATTAGGAAACATGTTAAAAATCAAATCTTGGCTTTCCAAAATATTGATCTTTATCCTCAAGAATCCAAGAACATCTGTCCCCCGAACATTTTAAGGTTTCATCGTTGGGAGGTTCCCTTTTGTAAAATTTGAGTTGAAGATATTTAATAAAATCAAGAAAAATAACATTTATTGGATAATATTACATAATATATATATTTGCTAAATATCATACACATAATCTAAATGGACATGTTAGAAATATAATCAATAAAATCTCATCTTACAAATAGTTCAAGCAACTATAATACGAAATTGGCAATGGGGAAAAGGAAAAACAAGATAAGAAATATATCCCGAAAATAATGTCGAAAGAATTAAACTTGTACTTGGAATATAGGTACGCAAAATAAATAAATAAATATATATATATATATATATATATATATGACGAAGTACATCAACCTACTTTATTCGGCAAGAACATGGAAACTTACCGTTTTGCAAGCAAAAGCGGCGCGAGTCAAAAGACGAAGAAGAAGATTGTGGAGAAAATAGTGGTAGAGCAAAAATTGAGAGAAGT